TTGAAAATGTTTTAGTTTTAGTTAGACTAAGTTAGACTTAGTTGGACTCTTGTGAGCTTTAAGACACGTTACAATGTTGTTACCTCGTCACAAACAAACCTGGAGTTGTGTTTTGTCTCATTCCCACATTTGAGTCCCCTTTTATGATTAGTCGGTTTACATCTCCGAAGCTCAAAATACTCTGTTCCACCTTCAGATATCACGAAGTGCTTCTTTTTAAGTTAACAGCTACCTTTTATTTATTTATTTATTTTTTGATTAGAGATCGGCTATTCCAGGGCTGAAATGATCCAAATTACTATATCGATTTTGTTCAATTTCGAAATCTCTCTGTACAATATTTTCACAATATGCATTTCACGGTACAATATTTTTTTTACAATATTTTGTGGAAACTCTGATATGCTCTTAAAATGCCTTGACAAGACTTAATAAAAAAAAAAACTAAGATTTAAAAGTGCTTAGAACTGTTATTTCTTCATGTAGTTTACACTGAAATGGAGCAAAGGATCATGGTCTATGTAGTTCCCTCTGTTTTTTTTTTTTTTTTTAGCTATTGCTGCACCATAACTTTTTAGACTTATAGTTCAATATATTGTGACAGGCCATGATATTCTTGTGAGACATTTGACGATGCAATATCATGATATTTCGGTTATTGTTGCATCACTGTATAATATATGAAAGCTGGAACAATATATTTATATATTTATCGCATGTACAGTTTCTTTGTAAAAGTGAGGAGATTTTATGTAACAATGTTTGAGCTGTAGAGAGTAGAATAAAGAACTTGGCTAATTATTAAGGGTGGGACGAGACACAATTTTCACTAGATGAGACACACCACAAGATTAGGTCCAAGTAGTGCAACCCATTTTGCAATTTTGGCTTCACTATTTTTTATTTATTTTATATATTTTATGTACTTAAGCAATGATTGTAGTACTGCTTTTTAGAACTACAGCTCTTCAAATAATATAACTCCGGCTTTTAACTCTTCTTTGTCCAAGCCAAAGATAAATTCAAGGGGAAAACTCTCACAAGATAATTTTTCTCATGTGTGCACTTGTCTTGTGGCAATTTTGTCTCACGAGATCTTGTCCCATTCCTACTAATTATTATTGCTTCATTCTGCTGTTTGTCTGTTCTGTAGCTCATGTATTTTAATGATGCAGTAGTGCTTTGTGTACATGGTATAAAGTAGTTTGAATATTATCGCTTATTTCTGTGTAGTGATATAGCAGAATTGTGTTATCCTGACAGCTCTAAGAACAAGCCATGTACAATTAGTACCTCTTAGTTTAATAGGAGTGGGTGGATGTATATATTGTATATATTTTAAAGGGCCCATATTACACTATTTTCAGATCTGCTGTATGTTATAATGTTGTTTCCTCATCACAAACATACGTGCAGCTGTGTTTTGTTTCAGTCACACAGTTTTAACAATCAAATCCTGCATATTTAAGATGAGTTCTTCTCTCAAACACAAAACACGCTCCACCTTGTGATGTCATGTGGTAATACAGGAAGTGCTCCAGGCAAGGCAAGCCAAGGCAAGGCAAGTTTATTGGTATTGCACAATGCGTACACAAAATAATATGAAGTATTTAATATCGATACGATACATACCTCAATACATAGGCCATGATACAATAAACATCTCGATAAAGTGCACTTTCGATTCAATTTGATATATTTCAAATTGATTCGATATTCTTCAATAAAAAATCATGGCTGTGATACTGAAAGTCTTTGTTAAACCTCTTCTTGTGCAAAGTTCATATAAAACACAAACATTTTAATCATCAAAACAGTGAAAATGTCAAATGTGTCGCATAAACAAGTTTCCTTCCTCTAAACAAGCAACAAAACTGTAGCAATGTAACAAAATAATTTAGTGAAATATACAAAAGATACTCTTGGCGATATATCGATACAGCGGATCCTGATATCGATACTGTATCATCACATTAATCGATACGATATATCGATATTTCAATATTTTTGCACACCCCTAGCACTTAACAGACTAAACCTCCACACACCTTCACTAGAATCATTTGGATAATTTCACTCTCAAACTCTCACTTCATGACAAGTGTTTTGAGCTGGAAGACAGGCTAGAAGTCTAAGGTAGAGTTTTCTGTGCATCTGTCAGATTGCAGATTTGTTGACCTAGTTTATGGTTCATAACTCTACTTGTACATACAGGTCTCATCCAAATTAACAAAAACCTAGATATTTCATTCAAAAACATTGACTCTTCCATTGAACTTTATAGACCCCTGCCCTCCATCTGAAGTTATGACATCATCAAATTCTCAAACTTGAACACATGAGATTGAAAGAAGAAACTAGACAAGATTTTGACGTGTTTTATTATTAATAAATTGTGCAGTTCCGTCCTTGCCGTCATTGTAGCAGTGTGAACTACAGCTTCTCAAAAAGTGTTGTTGTAATGTCATCAGCAGGCTTCAGTCTTATTCATACTTTTGGTCTGTTGTTATTTACTAATTGCAGCATAATGCCTAGAAAGGAGAGGCTAAAAAAGGAAAGAGAAAAGGAGCTACAGTAGGCAGCCCAGGGAAGCGGTTCTGTGCTCTCCTGCATGAAAGCAAAGCCAAATGAAGACGAAAGGTCAGAGTCAAAACCAGAGTCATGTTCACTGTTTAGGGCCTTTTAAAGCTCCACTTTTAATGTTGAACTGTTACTCTAACTTTATAAAAATATCTTAAAAGCTGTCCACATTTTATTTTTAATTACACAAAGTGCTTTGCTGGTACTAAATCAGGCATTAAGCTATAATAGCTATTATTTTGTACCAACCATAATTTATTTCTATAGCCCTATTTGCACAGGATAAGTACAACCTGGGGACGTGTGGTAATTTGTAAATTACTTTGGTTTACTGATATTACGACCGGATATGTCGTACCATCGTAACATCTGCTTCTAGCTCTTTCGTGACTAGAAAGAGACTAGACCAGAACTAGACCAGGACTAAACTAGGACTAAACCAGGTCTAAACCAGGACTGGATCAGGACTAGACCAGGACTAGACCAAGACTAGACCAGGACTGCTACAGGACTGGACCGGGACTAATCCAGGACTGGTATAGAACTGAAACGAGAGTAAACCAGGACTTAACAAGAACTAAACCAGTGTCGGTCTAGGCCGAGTTGCGTGGGTCGCTCCCCTCCCCTGGTTCCAAGTAGAGATCTAGCAGGCACTAGATCGCCCCCGCCTCCCGATATGGAGGATATAGCCTAGCTAGTTATTAGCTAGTGATATTATTTAAAATGTTCCTTACCGCTTGCTGCTACACATGTCATCCAGGCCAACATCCTGTGAGAATTGACTCTCTTCCCGTATCAGCAAATCGGTTTACATATAGTGCGATACGGGACCGTATTAGAATTTGCCCCTAGAAAGCTGTCAAAACTGCTAATCAAAATTTCTACCACAGCCTCCATATTCAAGCTGGAAAGAGATAAAAAAAAAACAACGCACAATTACCACAACAAACACTGAGATGCAGATTTGCACAGGACTAGAATTATCACCGGACCTCTGTGTTTGGAGAAATATAGTAGGTAATTTGCGGCGTAATTTTTACTTTACAAATTACAAACATGGCGCATTCACTCGGTATTAAGACCTCAGGAATTATTACCATTCACCAAAAGTCCACAGGTAATACTAATCCTGTGCGAATAGGGCTTAAGACACATAAGTGCCCTTATTTTTCACTGAGCACCTGACCCCCAAAATGTCTGTGCACCCCACTAAATTTAACGGTAACACTTTATAATAACTTCACATTATTTAGCCTTAATAAAGCATGAACAAAGACTTAATTAATAATGAACAAAGACTTAATTAATAATGATTCACGCTTAGTAAATGCTTAATAAAGGATAATTAGTCTTCACTTTACAAAAGCTCTAAAAAGACTTAACTAACAGATAACAGCTGCCTGAATTATCATTGCATTGTATTATTAGTAAATCATTCTCTCATAGCTTTACTAATCATTAATAAATGCTCAAATGGTTAGTCCATGAGTAATTAAGTATGAAATAATTATGAGTAACTATTTACAGCACAGGCAAATTAAGTGCAAGTGATAATTAAGGCAGTAATTAAGTAGTTACTAAGCGTGAATCATTATTAATTAAGTCTTTGTTCATGCTTTATTAAGGCTAAATAAGGTGTAGTTATTATAAAGTGTTACCAATTTAACACTTTTAAGTCCAATCCAATTGTAAAGACAAAAATCTCTCAAGAGTGTTTTTCTCAACTGTACACAATGCTGGCAAGTTTGTTTCATGAGATCTTGTTCCATTTCTAATTTCTACAGATTTAGCAGTTTATTGTTTTTTTCTATAGTTATTTTCTTCTCATCTCACAATTTAAAGGTGCATTGTGTGACTTTTCTGGTGGAGTGTCCGTCACAGTCAGAATGCCTGTTTTTCTAGGTATTTTTGAGCTATAAACCCATCTGTAATTGAGTAAATGTTAAGTATCTGTTTAATGTCTTACTGTGGAACATTCCAGGCAGAGCAGTGACATTTCCATAGAAAGAAGAAGGTGACGATCCTCCTACCGAAAAGTTACACAGTGCACTTTTCATAGTATTATTGACGGTGCTTCTGTTTTGTTCCGCATTTGTACTTCCTGCTTCCTTCTTACCACTTCCTTATGTTTCTTTTCAGAGTTTCCTTCGATGGAAGAAACGAGCCTCTTATCGACAATGGACAGAAAGACACACCATCGCGTTGGACTTTATCTTCACGAAACTTTTAGCATTTTTTGACAAACCCACAACTCATTTTTTTCCATATATGATCCGGATATGCGTTTTTGTTTTTCGTCCAAATGAGCTGCGCCATGTGGACTTATTTTGAAATCAATTTGAAACGAAAATTGGATCTGATTATATAGTTCTCGGCCAATGTGATTAACAGATTAGGACAGGAATAACTTGAGGTAGAGTTAGCATTTAATTTATTTGCAATTCAGTACATTATTTTAGATTTTGGGCTTGTGATCCAGTTGTAAAGTGTGTTTAATTTAAGATTTGTTTTGAGACATGGTTTAGTCCAGGTTTAGTCCTGGTTTAGACCTTGTTTACAGCAGAATTAGTTTAAGATTGTTTTGTTCCAGCTTTCGTACATTTCAGACAAAGTGTAGTCCTGGATCAGACCTGGTTTAGACCTGGTTTAGTCCTGGTTTAGACCTTGTTTAGTCCTGGTTTAGACCTTGTTTACACCAGAATTAGTTTAAGATTGTTTTTTTCCAGATTTCTTTTCAGACCTAGTGTTGTTCTGGATCAGACATGGTTTAGACCTGGTTTAGTCCTTGTTTAGACCTGATTTAGTCCTTGTTTAGACCTGGTTTAGCTCTGGTTTAGACCTTGTTTACAGCAGAGTTGGCTGTTTTAGTCCTTGTTTTGTCCTTGTTTAGTCCTGGTTCTGTCCTGGTTTAGTCCTTGTTTATTTTCTTGTTTACAGCAGAATTGGTTTAAGATTTTTTTTGTTCCAGCTTTTGTACATTTCAGACAAAGCGTAGTCCTGGAGCAGACGTTGTTTAGACCTGGTTTAGTCCTTGTTTAGACCTGGTTTAGACCTGGTTTAGACCTTGTATAGAGCAGAATTGGTTTAATTCAACTCTTTTCCTAAGTTTTATTATTTATATATTTCATTAGGCTTAGATAGATTAAGAACAAAGTCATACGGCAATTAAATATTTTTTTTGCTAATTTACACCCCAAATCTTCAGACATGTTGGCGCATATTTGCAAATATTATTCCGCCATTTTGTGAAGCCATTGTTTTTGATGCTCAGGAAAACCTTTCGAAATGGAGGGCCTGGAGAAGCTGGATGTCGTGGGGGACATTAGCCCAGCTCTGGAGGCTACAGAAGACTTCATTCACTGCGTCGACGGTATTCACCCCCAAAACATGAGCCAGGAAGTCAGCCGAACCATGTCCCGACCCGCTAAACAACTCCAAGAAGTGTCAAACGCCGCGATGGGAAAGCTGAAATCCAGCGGAGTTTGGGGAATCTTGTCCGGGGAGCAAGAAGTCGGACCTTTGGGGTTGGCTTGGGCGGATAACTTCACGGTTTTAGGATTAGGGGGTATGGGGTTCAGGCATGGGAAAAGAAGCAGAGCCAGATCTACGAATGATTTAGCGGGGCATAGCAAAGAGTGTACGAACAATAGCACAAACTCGGCGGCCAATTCGGTTTTCAAAAAGGGACACAATCGCTCCAGGTCGGATGTGAACTACAGACCTTCTGCCTTCACGGACAACGGACTGCCCACGGTGGACGGAAACACGCTGAAGAATATGATCCTCAATCAGCAACAAGAAGGTAAGGCCCGTTCTTTTAAACTGAATGTAAAGGTGCACTGTGGAACCTTTCTGATGCAGGTTTTGTGATCTGCTGAGATGGAGATGGCTGTGACTGTGGAATGGTGGACAGTATGGCGTGAAACCTAACTAGCCTTCATTTACTTGTGTTTTTATTGCTTTAAAGGTGCATTATGTAACTTTTTGGTTGGGAGTCCGTCACCTGCTTGGTTCTATGGATATGTCATCGCTCTGCCTGGAATGTTCCACAGTATGACATTAAACACGTCCTCTACTTTACATTTATTAAATTACTGGTGGTTGTATAGCTCGGAAAATCAGGCATTCTGACTGTGAGCAGGGTCGCCTCTCCACAGATCTGACCTGTAACTTGGTCTGGTTTGGTCTCCCTGAAGATAGAAAGGTTTAATGTCATACTGTGAAACATTCCAGACAAAGTAATAACGTCTCCATGGAGAAAAGCATCTGACGAACCTTCCACCAGAAAAGTTACAAAATGCACCTTTAACACCTTGAAAATTATGCTTTCTGCTGATGATGCTTTTCTTTTTTACCGTGAGTGAGTTTCTTTTCCGCAGATCTGGCCTATAACTTTAGCTTGTCTCCATAGAAATAAATAAGTTTATTAACCCTTCCAGCCCAATCGTATCATGGAAATATGTTTTATATAACCGCACATACCTTTCAAACCATAAAAGATAGAAACTTTTTTTTTCCCTTGGAAAACTGAGCATATTTTCGTCATTATCCTGCATCACATGCATGCTGTGTGATGACATAGTCCAATAGGAACTTTGTTTTCCACCAAACTCATGTGCTCCATCCATTTTGATTGGGCCAAACTTTGCCAAAGAGTGTAGTGAGTCAAGATGGTCGATTGCTCTGAGCGTCAGTGTTCGTAACAATTAAAAAAGCCTCTCTAAGTGCAGTTATTTCTCAAATAATTTACAAATTATGCATCTTGGTTTGTGTAATTGCGCATCCTTTGCTATTTTTATTTGAAAGGTTTATGTACAAACATTTGTCCAAAATGTACAAATCCAAATGTAATAAACCCCATGGAAATGCAGGAAGCGATGTGGCTCTGTGCTGGACCTGACATGAGCTGTTTCCATGACTGGCACCAGCAAAGTTATGGGGCCATTGCACTTCTTTTTTGAGGGTAATAAGGATATTTTTCGTTTACTTACAGACTTGATATTTTGCACATTTGTAGCTAAGGCCCTAAATTAAGCATTATTTATGTCCAAAAAGTTGTTTATACATGTTTGCTGTGTGCTTTGTATGAAAGAGTGTGAATTTTATTTCACCCCCTTTTTTTTTCATTTATTTTTCTGGTCCTATATCTCTTATTACAGCTATATGACACAACTACAGCAGCAGATTGTGAAATGATAGGTTGCACTGAAAAAAGGATGTATAACACTTCATTGGGGGTGAAATGGAGAGTTTTAATAGCAAAAGTAAGAAAAAAAAAATGCAGGCAAGGACGAGTGTATTAAAATTAGAGCCCGACCGATATGGATTTTGCTATGAAACCGATATAATGGAAGTTGGAGCTGCCGATAGCCGATATAATCGCAGATATATTTAGTGATGTAAAAATTCACTGTAAATGTTGAATTGTTTAAAAAACTTAGGTTTAAATTGGGTTTATTTAGGCAACATTTATTGTTATTCTGCCTCTTTACATCATATTTACAGACAGTAGGTTGGCTTAATGGCATTTTTGCATCACATTCTAGACACTAGTGATGGGTATTCCAGTTCTTTTTTAGAGAACCGGCTCTTTTGGCTCGGCTCACTAAAAGCTGCTGGTTCTTTTGGCTCCCAAGTGGCTCTTCAGATTGTTTTTTGTTGCAAGCAGGACTAAAGCACATCTAAAGCAGGACTGAATCAGGACTGAACCAGGTCTAAACCAGGACTGAAAAAGGACTAAACCGGGACTTATTTATTTTATGCTAAACTACAGTCAAATATGCTTGTTTTTTTTTTTTTTTTTTTAATCCTACGTACACGCAAATTTCTCAAAGTTTCCTTTTTAGCCGCTGCCGCTGTCAAACCATGAATCTGCACGCGGCGTGAAGAGAAAAAAAGTGAGAGAAAGAGAAGACACGGCTCCCAATAAGGATCAGGCTCCCGTCGTTCCCTTTAAAGAGCCGGTTCTAAGAGTCATTTCGTTCGCGACGGACCCATAACTAGTAAAGAAAGTAGCGCTATTAGCCTTTAGCCGTAAATACGTGCGCGCCGCGGTAATTAATTATATGCGCAAATGTCATAATTCACACGTCTATTCACAGCTCATTTACATATCAGTGCAGGTCCAGTAGCAAATATACGGCCAATATAGTCACTTTAGAACAGACCAATAGAAAACAGTCTGTTTATGTGCGGGAGCTACAGCAGCTAACCCATAACAAATGACAAAAACTAGCTTCAGAGTCGACATATTTCCAACACTCACCGCTCATACAGGCTCCTCCTCACATCACAAATCTGCACTAATAAATGTCCTTTTAATCCAGACTCAAACCGATTGTCCGTAAAAAGAAAATAATCTCAGTGTTTGGATCTGTGTCTGCGGGTGTAAACAAACACACATGAGTGACGCGACTCTGTGGTGTGTTCAGGGACAATACAGACACACACACACAGACAAATGACTCCGTAGATAAATACTGATGCGGAGCCACATATTTGGACATTTATCTGTCTGTAAATTGGATTAAATGAACAGAATGTAGAGAGTCTAAGCTTCATAACGAGGTATAACATGCCCACGTGAAATATCGGCCCCTATCAGCAAGCATATCGGCCGATAGCCGATATGCCTAAAGTTGCCCATATCGGCCGATAATATTGGCCAACCGATATATCGGTCGGGCTCTAATTAAAATTACCCTTAGGTCTAGAAGGGTTAGTCAGTGGATCAATCTTTATTTATAGAGCCTTTTACAATTCTCAAGGTGCTGAAATTGTTTCAAATCAACATTGTTAAAACATGTAAAACATTCATGGCTTAATATTCCAGGCATAGTAAGAACATCACCACGGAGACGAGCAGAAATGTTGCTGAGTGAACCTTTAACAAGCCAAAGTGCAATTAGTTATGCTGACACGAAAACTGCCCATAAAGATACATAATTTTAATGCCATACTGTGGAACTATCCGGACAAAGTATTAACATCACCATGGAGACAAGCTGCCCGAAAACTTACACAAAGTGGCTTTAATCAAATCATGATTGACCTGTGAAGATATCTTTCATATCTACTTTCACTTTCACTTTTTTATTTTTATTTTGTATGTCCAGAAATGTTATACTTTATTGCAACAATCCAGGCAAATAATTAGCATTGCCATGGAAACAAACCAAGACAAAATTTACACGATGCAGCTTTAACCAAGACATTGTTAGATTGTTTGACTGGAGATGTCCTCCTTCCACTTTTTTAGTCTTTGTCCTTCAAGCTCAAGCTATTTTAAATTGAGTTTTAAGGTGACTCATTTTCCTGTATTGTGACGTCATATACAGTGGAAAAATACATCTTCTATTTAAGGAGCTGGAATTTTATAGCCATTCACTCCACTCTGACAATCCTCTATAGCAAATAATGATAGATGATAACTGCAAATCACTCTCTTTCTCTCTCTCAGTCTACGCTCTTCTCCTCTTGCTGTCCGTAACTGTTTCTATCTCTTTTTCCTCATATTCGCTCCTTTTCTCTCTCTGTCTCTCTCTCCCTTTACTTGTCCTTTCTCTCTCTCCCTCTCTCCACCCCTCTCTCTTTCTCTCTCTGTTTTCCACCCTTTTGTGCTCTCTATCTGTACCTCTTTCTCTGTCTCTGTCTCTTACTTTACTCACCCATTGTCCCCCTCTTTCTGTCCCTTTCTCCTTTCCTTCTCACAACCCCTTTCTCTTCCCCACTTTTCCCTTTATCTACCCTCTCTCCGTCCTCTCTCTCCTTTCTTCCGTTGCCTCTCCCTCTCTCTAGCCTTCTTTCTCTCACTTCTTCCTCTCCCTCTCTCTATCTCTCTATCTCCCCCTCCCTTTTTATTCTCTCCTTGTCTCTCTCTCCCTTTAATGCCCTTTCTCCCCCTCTCTCTCTTTTTCTCTCTCTGTCTCTTCCTCAGTTTTGCCTTTCTGTCCATCTTTTTCTTCACACTCCCCTTCTCTCTCTCTCTCTCTTTCTTTCACCTCCTTTATTCACCATTTTGCCCATTTTGTTTCTCTATTCCCCTTCCCTCTATTCCTCCCACTCTCTCTCTCCTTTCTTTCTCCGTTTTCTTCTTGCTCTCTCTATCCCTCTCTCTCTCACCCATTCCCCTTACTCTCCCTCTTTCTGCCTCTCTATCTCCCCCTCCTTTTTAATTCGCTCCTTTTCTCTCTCTGCCTCTCTCTCCCTTTAATGCCCTTTCTCCCCCTCTCTCTTTTTCTCTCCGTCTCTTCCTCACTTTTCCCTTTCTGTCCATCTTTTTCCTCACATTGCCCTTTTGTCTCTCTCTCTCTCTCCCTTTCCTCACCATTTTCTCTCACCCATTTGTCTCTCTCTCCTTTCTTTCTCCCTTTGCTTCTTGCTCTCTCTCTCTATCCTTCTATCTCTCACCCATTCTTCTTTCTCTCCTTCTTTCTGCCTCACTGTCTCTCTGTCTCCCCCTCCCTTTTTTATTTTCTCTTTTACTTGCCCTTTTCTCTCTCCCTCTCTCGACCTCTATGTGTCTCTTCCTCACTTTTCCCTATCTGTCTATTTTCCCCCTTTTTCCCTATACTCCCCTTTTGTCTCTCTCTCCCTTTACTCACCATTTTCCCTCGCCCATTTGTCTCTCTATTCCTCTATCCCACTCTCTCTCTCTCCTTTCTTTCTTCGTTTGCTTCTTGCTATGTCTCTATCTCTCACCCATTCCCTTTACTCACCCTCTTTCTGCCTCTCTATCTCTCTATCCCTCCCTTTTATTCGCTCCTTTTCTCTCCTTGTCTCTCTCTCCCTTTAATGCCCTTT